CACTGCTAGAGGGAGGGGGCAGAGGACAGATGCATCCGAAAGGGGCTGGCATTGCCCTCTTAGAGGCTGGGCCCCTCCCCAGAGTAAGGGCGGCAGTCCCTCGGCCGTCCAGGTCTCCCAACTTGGCACTGGGGTTTTGCATGTGGGAAACGGGCAGGGTTGGGCCAGAGCCATTCAGCACTGAAGTTAAAATTTCCATGTGATTTCTCTTTGCTCCGCCGGGTCCTGCCAGAGCTCAGAAGTAAGTCTACTCCTGGGGGTCAGGGGTGCATGGTGGTCCTGGGACAGAGCACACACCTGGCACAGCTCGTGGAGGCAGCCAGGCTTGTGTCCACCCTGTAGGCCAGTGCAGGCTTCACCTGGGCCTGGGGATCCAAGCTCCTGGGACATCCTGAGTCAGGCTGTGTGGACATGGCCAGATGGTGGGCATTGTGGACGGTGGCTGAGCCACCCCCTCGCCCCAGGCCCTGCTGCTCTCTGTCTACAGTGAGGGAACGGGCTACAGGGGACCTGACTCGACTTGAACTCCCACCTCATCCCCCTGCCCCTGCATGCCCTACATGGTAACCCTGGGTTGGGCAGGTGCATGAAGGACTCTCCCACTAATGCAGCCACCACCTAATCCCACCCACCCACCTGTCTCCAGGCTCCGGAGTGTGAAGATTGAGCAGGGGAAGTTGAACGACCAGGCCAACACGCTCGCTGACCTGGCCAAGGTGAGCAGGGAATGGCCAGGTTGGGTGACTCCTCAGGCCAGCAGGGGTTGGTCGGCTCTCCGTGGAGAAAGGGGGACATTCAGTAAAGGACAGGGCCCAGCTACTGCCAAGGGATGGACAGCACTGGCATCCACAGGACAGGCAGGTGACACAGGCAAGGGATGCAGGGTGGGCAGGACGAGCCACCAGGGGACACCAGCCTTGTCTGCAAGGGTCCACTGTGACCAGAGGCTCTGATTGTGAGAGCGACTCTGGAAATCTACATCTGTGTGTAAAAGCTACTTTTAATGTTGGCAGTGATTTTATTTTAAAAAAATTAGTATCTAAGAAAATAGCTTTAATAAAAATATATAATTAGTGGGCATAATTGGTGATGGAGTACTTTTGGTATGGTTAGAAATTCAAATTATAGCATCAGCAGAAAGCTAATTTGTTTAGCAATTGAACACATTTCAGGAAATTAAAGTTGATTGTAAGAGCTTTATAAGATTGGTTTGTTATAAATGGATCTATTTGTTGGTTCTAATATCCAGTCCTACTCTTCCCTGCTTTTTATTCGTCTATTAAAAGATGTGTGAACTGACCCAACTTTAGTTAGGCGAGTTCTTAGAATGTTTTCACACTATTCTGAACTTGCTCCTAGTCAATAAATAGTGCATTTCATAAATAGTTCATGTGTGAGCGTTGCTTATTGGCCCCACCCCTTAATCAATGAATTAGTCTGAGGCTAATTTAATATTATCTTTAGAAGATGTTAAGTCCTATTCTATTTTACTTCTTACACCCAGCTCATTTTGGACTCACTGTCTTCCCTTAGTATCAAGAAATTGCAAAATAATTCAATATTAACCTACATAGATTTAATTTGGAAAGAAATATTACAGAGGAAAAAACATTCTAGAACCCTGAAGAAACAATTATATTGGTAGTAGAAATAATATAACCCTAAGAGCATGTAGAAATTGTTGGCTAGCTAATTTGATGCCATAGGATATTATAGCTATAAATATGAAATATCTTGGAAAAACTCAGATACTAGGCATTATAGTTTGAATTATCCATAGCACACTTTGTTAGCATAAATGATTAGAATTTGAATTTTTAAGTTATTTAAATCTTAAAATATGTAAGATTTAATTATGGTGGTATACTCTCAAAATACATTTCACAAAAGCTTCTTTGAAGTCAGTTCTTAGATTGGATTATATGGGTTTCTAACTTTTAAAAATGAAACAAGGTTAAAATGTTTTCCAATTTTAAGTTTTTATGCTTTTCTTCCCAAGGTTGCTGATTTAATTTGTATCTCTCTGACAAAAATAAAATGTATATCCTAAGTTAAAAAAAAATTTTTTTAAACCTCAGAGAGGGCCAAAAATGAACCATCCCAGGGTTGGATGCCTCCCGATGTTATCTCCTGGCCCTGGACTGTGGTTCCGTGACGCAGGCTGCGATGAGGGTCATTGGCCCTAGGAGGGTCCTCGAGTTGTTGCACCCCCCTGCAGTGGGTCTGCCTACCAGTAACAGAAGAAAGGGGCAGGGGGCACGTTGGAGGCAAAGGCATGGAGGCTGGGACAGGTTGCTGGTATTGAAATAGGCACCTCATCCCTCCCACGGAGCGAGGAGTTGCGGGGAGGGGTGTTTCCCTCCCTCAGCCGGCACTGCCCTTTCAATCCTCCCCTCAGAAGCATGGGAGGGGTGGTGAACTTCTGTCCACCTGGAGATCTGGTCACCGCGGAGCTGGGGTTAGAGACGCCGAGCGATGTTCTAGCGCCACCTTGTGGCAAGAGTGGCGTTTGCGCCGACGGCTGTCCGCGTAGCTGGCCTCCTCTTACAGCTTGGGCTCATCTGGACAGTGCCAGAACCAGTCCCTGCTGGCTGCATTGTGGAGAACAATAGAGGTGGTGGGAATGCCCCACCACCTACCATAACAGTAATTGTTGTGGTTGTCGTGTTCCCCGGTCTGTGATTGGGTCAGTTCTTCCTGGTAGTCACCTCTCCCTCCAGATCCCTGCTGGACCCGGACAGTCTAATGTGCCACCTGGCCAGTTCAATCCATCAGGACAGACCTGGCCACAGCCGTCCCTTTCCAGGACCTCCCTTGGCCTTTCCCAGGCCTGCTGGCTCCAGCCCGATCTTCAAGACCTGTCTGTCTCCTCACTGATTCTCCCACCATTCCCTGGGGTCCAGCAGGAGACCTGCAGGGCTGGGGAGTGTCCTCACAGTCTCAGCCATCTCTCTGTGTGTCTGGTCCTTCCTGTCTCACTAGGCCTCTTCTCTCTCCCACCTCTCTGTTTCCGGCAGACTCAGAATGCCATGTACGACCTCATGTCAGAACTGCATGCCCAGCACGAGGACCTTGAGGCCCGCCTGGCTGCCCTCGAAAGTCGCCTGGATGCACTGAGCACTTCCCTGCAGGCCTTGCCCGGCCTCATCGCCCAAGCCATACGCCCGCTCCCCCCACCCCTGCCTCCCCGGCCTGGCCTCCTGGATCAGGCAGCCCAGAGCCCCCCATGCCAGTGGCCTCCTGTGGCCTCTTCAGATTGCGGGTGACGGCCCCGCCCGCCACCGGACCCCACAGTCTTGGCCATCGTGTGGCCGCCACCTCCACGCCATCCAGGAAGCCCTGTCCAGTGGCGCCTCTTGGAGTTCAAGGAGCCAGAGCTGAGTTGGGCTGAGCGGCTGGGGGCCTGCTCCACCCAGACTGTCCTGGCAGAGGGCAGGGCTGGACCTCAGGCAAGGGCAGGGGCAACCGCCACCAGCTTCCTTCCTTATTGGAGCTGGGGGAGCCCGGAGCTTCCTCTGGTTCCCTGGCCCCCCGACTCTCCCCAGGCCCCCGGTGGGCTCAGAACATCTGGGAGAGGGGTCCTTGCCAGTTCTGAATAAAGCAGGACCCACCCACTTGCTGCTTATTGTGCGTGGTTGGGGGACACTCATAATTACAGCATGGGAGGTAGACACCCAGCCTAGGTTTCCAGAATGGATGTGGGGGTCAAGGTGAGCCAGCCCCATCACTACCCTAGCTTGGTAATCTCCCAAGTGTGGCTCAGCCCAGGCCAACAGGAGGCAGTTGATAATCAGACATCCTTCCCTTTAACCAAGCTGGCTTTGCCTGAGTGCCCACTGTGGGCCAGGTGTCAGCAGAGCACAGGTCTAACGGCGGGAGGTGACATGAGTGAGGAGGGCCATTTAGTCTTTGTAAGATATGTATTGGGTACATGCTGTATACAGGGAATGTGATGTAAATTATCATACTGACTTCACCAGAACCTGACCAGTGTAGGATGGAGATACTGAGTTTCAGAGAAGTGAAGCCACCTGCCTGAGGCTAAAGAATGAGGAGGGGTGAGCCAGGACTCAAACTTGGGGGCCCACAGGCCTGTGAAGAACCCAGGCTGAGCGAGGGTACTCCATGGGAGTCTGGTATGAGTTGGGGAGGGTGTGGTGCAATCCTGGGGTTAAAGTGGCCCCTCTGGGGTGGACTGGAGGGGAAAGCTCTGGACACAAGTAGAATCAGAAAGGCCCCACCAGTCCTTGGGCTCGGGGTGCTGGGTTCAGGTAGGGGCGGCAGGCACTTGGCAGATGCTGGGCCCTGAGCGGGGCAGGGAGTGGAAGCTTGGTCCCCAGGGAGTCTAATCTCAGCCCAGCAGAGAGCCCAGGCCCTGGAAGCCTCTGATAAGTCCATGGGCCACCTGGCTCATGGAGATAGGTTGGATGCAAGAGAGAGGAGGATGTGGGGAGGTGCAGGTGTGCCGCAGTCAGACCTGGGTTGGAGTCCTGACTCTGCCACCACTGGTGTCTCTAGTAGTGGCTGCCCCTCTGGGGGCCTCTGTTTCCTCATCTGTAAGATCGGGTGATAAGAATAGGACATAGTGCCCACCCTTGGGTGCACCCAGTCTGGAGGAGCCACAGTAAACACATAGCAGCCACAAACACTGTGAGTAGAGGCATAAAGAAATAAATAAGGCCAGGCCTAGACTAGGGGACTCTTGAGGTGACATTTGGACTTGTGGGGGAGGGTGGGAGAGTGGATCTGGAGAAGGGCGTTCCCAGCAGCAGAACAACCAGTGGAAAGGCCAAGAAGCAAGACCTGAGCTTGGTATGTTTGGGAAACAACCAGAAGGTGGCAGGGTCCGGAGGAGTGGGGAGGCTGGGGCAGTGCTCCCGGCCATGGGTGCCGGTTGGGAGACGCATGAGACCACAAGGCACAGCCCGGTGGCTGTCTCTGCTCAGCGCCAGCCACATCCGCCCCCGCCCGACTGTGACTCATCAACGCCGACCCTACAAAAACAGGGCCCGCCTAGCGTTGGGGGGTGGTAAAGTCAACAGCGCGGGCAAAAAGGTAGCACGTCCCCGGTGGCCCAGGCGCGTCACCGGGCGGACGCGGAGGACCAGAAGTCCACCCAAGGCCCGCGGCCCCTGCACAAGTTCGCAGGGGCGGGAGAAAGCGCCGGGGTCCCCCGGGGCGGCGAGGAAGAGCGCTGAGACCCAGGAGGCCTGTAGTGCGCCTGGTGGCCGTGAGCGCCGGCGGTCCTCCACGCGGGCCTCCGTGTCCCCGCCGGGCGCCCAAGCCTGGGCCATGCGCCGAGGGGGCGTGCGCACCTTCGCACTGGAGCTGGCGCGGGGCCCGGGCGGCGCGTACCGCGGCGGGGAGCGGCTGTGCGGCCGGGTGCTGCTGGAGGCGACGGCGCCGCTGAGGGTGCGAGCGCTCGAGGTGGCCGCGCGTGGCGGGGCTGCTACGCATTGGCTCGAGGGCCGAAGCGTGGGCGTCAATGCGGTGTCCAGCGACTTCGCGGCCGCGGAGACGTACCTGCGGCGGCGGCAGCAGCTGATTCGAGGTGAGCTGCTCACCACCCACCCCGTAGCGAGGACCCTGTGGCACCCTCTCCCCACGTCTGCGCGCTCCTCTCCAGAGCTAGGAGCCCTTCAATTTAGAGGCCGTGCGGTCGAGTGACCCTTCTCAAGAAGTGGGGACTTCCTCCCCAGGGTCTGTACCTTCCCAATAGGACCCACTTACTCCCTCTAAAAAATTATTTCCGGGGAACCCCTCCCAGGATCTGGGCTACCCCCTCCGGAGTGGACACCCTCGACTGAGAGGCTGTGTGGCGAGGACCCCCTGTCTGGGGGAATCCTTGGGTGGAGCCTGGAGATCCTCTGGACCCCAAAATCCCCTGTTAGCCCCAGGCCTGGGGTCCCTGATTCCCAAAGAAGGCCTCCTATCTAGCTCTGCCAGTGCCCCCTCCCTCAGTTTACCCCGCAGTGTTTGCAGGGGCGAGTTCTTCCCTGGGTTGGGGGTTCTAGTGGTGTTTGCAGGTGAGGAGGAGACTTGAGGTGGGGTCAGATCAAGCTGGGAGTCTTACACTGCTGTGAAACTCAGTCCCCCACCCTCAGGAGCAGAACAGGGGCCACAGAAAAGGTGCAGAGGACATGGGCATATTTGGGAGGCCCTGGCCACCTCCTCCCTTATTACCCATCTGCCAGGAGGCAGCTCAGACCGGGCTTTGCCCCCTTGTCTTAACAGCCCCCAGGTGCAGGGGACTCTCACTTGACCAGCTGTGGAAATGACGTATAGAGGGCATGGGGCCAGACAGGAAGGGGCCCCAGAGGCACTTCCTTTCCCCTGAGGCTCAAGGGAAATTGGGGCCGGTCTCACCCTACAGCTCCCCTGGTCTCACCAGGTGCTTTCTTAAGACACTGCAGGAGTGAAGCTTTTAGAGCTTCTGTGCGACCCTGCCCATCTCTGGGTCTCTGGATACCCATCTGTTAAATGGACTGAGGGGAAAGCTTGCTCCTTATGAGTCACCCCATCCCTCGCGCTAGGATCACCCCATCCCTCACCTCCTCCGGGCTTATGGCCTCCTATCCTGTCTGTACGCTTCATTAGGACCTAAGAAAAGGTCTCAACCCCTTATTTAAGTCACAGATCCCCCCTTCTCCAGGCAGCCCCACAAGCTGATCAATGAGTCGACAGCCTCTATCCCTCCCTTCGGGCCTGCTCTGACCCCTATCACGGGCTGACCACTTCCGGTTATTGCCATCTCCCCCTGCCGAGGCCTCAGAGGGGTCCCGGAGTCGCCTGAGGTAGACCCAAAGGGGGGGGGGTGGCCAAGGTGAAGGATGGGTTCAAGCAGCAGTGCATCTTGCTGCCACCAGAGGGCGCAGGAGCCCCTCAGATCACTAGGAGGCAACTCCCGCCTTAGAAATCCAACGTACGGTTCGTCTCTGGAGAAACTGAGGCCTAGAGAGGGGTCATCCCGCCCCGAGGGCACACCGCAGCCGTGGACCCGGGGGTGCCTGGACCTTCTCCTGTACTGGGCTCTGTGAGAGGACCGAAGCTGGAGGTGCCTGAAGTAGGCACAAGGGCTAGGCCTAGGGATCAAGTAGGGGTTTGTCAGGGGCTGGAAGCTGGGAAGGGAACGTCAGATGGTAGGAACAGCTTGGGCTAACACGCTTAGGCGCGACCGAATGGCGGCCCGTCGGGAACGGGTTAGTGATCCAGGAACACGTCTCTAGGAGGGATCAAATAGGGGCGACACTGTGATTCATGCACAACCCTCTGAGATGGGGACTGATTTTCTTCCGGCTCTGCGCACGCGGAAACTCAGGCTCCAAGACGTTATCACTAGTCCGAGTCACCCAGCTGAGCACGGTTCGAATCAGAGGAGGTGGGCAGCAGGTGCCCAAGGGGAGGGAGGCTCCGCCCACTTTTCCCTCCCTCCCCCATTGCTCAAAAGGGAAAATTGAGGCCTGGGGTGACCTAGGCTCTCAGCGCCCGGACTGGGCAAGGCCGTTCCACACCCCTCTAACTCGAATTGGATATGCCCGAGTCACGTCTGCAAGTTGTGGCCAGTTGATGATTAAGCCCAGGGACCGAATGGCCTTTCTGAATGACCGCATCTCCGGGCCTCAGTTTCCCTTCTTTATCTCCCGAGTCCTTGAGAGACCGGCTCTGGGCCCCCAATGCTTCAGCTTCATCCCTGGATCCATGAGGGTGAAGGGCAGTCTGAGCCTGAGAGTTTGTTATTTTGCTCCACGCCTGGGCGGAGCCACGCCTCTAGCCGCTCCATTGGTATATTTTCTTACAGGGGCGGGGTTTGAGTCTCGCTCCGCCCCGCCCTGCCGTATAAAGGCGGCGCCGACGCAGGTGGCGAAGTCTCTGGCCGGGTTAGCAAGTGCGCCTGCGTGCGCCGAGTGGATTCGCGTCTTGAGGCTGCCGGGACTGTACCTCGCGCCGCCGCGTAGGGGGTTCGAGGCCAGGGTCCGCGTGTCGCGGGTTCGCATCCCCAGCAAGATGCTGTTCCACAAGGTGAAGGCATTCGTGGTGCAGCTGGACCGCGAGGGCGCCGATTCCGTGTTCAGCGGCGGCCAGGCCGTAGCCGGCCGGGTGCTGCTAGAACTGACGGGCCCGGCGCGCGTGGGCGCCCTCAGACTGCGCGCGCGGGGCCGCGCCCACGTGCACTGGACTGAGTCGCGCAGCACCGGCTCGAGCACCGCATACACGCAGAGCTACAGCGAGCGTGTGGAGGTCCTGAGCCACAGTGCCACGCTTCTCGCGCCAGGTATGGCCGGGGACCCCCTTCGCAGTGCACGTCCTGCGCGCCCCGGGGACCTCACGCAGCCACTGAGCCGCTCCCTCTTGCTCCTATCTGCAGATACGGGAGAGACCACAACACTGCCTGCTGGGCGCCACGAGTTCCCATTCAGTTTCCAGCTACCTCCGTAAGTCATCTGGGGTGCTAAATTGTGGGGGAGTCCTTTCCAAGTTTAGGGCTACACTGTTTCTGGGGACCTCTGAGCCCCAACACTGTCTCCGCTGGGAGGCTCTCACGAGTGTCTCTGTGTCTCAAACCCCCTGTAGGGATCCCCAACCTACGAGTCTGTATCTCGCCCCCTGAAGTCCCTTCCTTCCACCCCTAGGACCTTAGTGACCTCATTCGAGGGCAAACATGGCAGTGTCCGATACAGCATCAAGGCCACCCTGCACCGTCCCTGGGTCCCTGCCCGCCGGGCAAGGAAAGTGTTTACTGTTATTGAGCCTGTGGACATCAATACACCTGCCCTGCTGGTGAGTGCCTGGCTGCCCCTGGAAAGGCGGTAGGAGTACCCTCAGGCAGGGGCCTGGCTGCTGGGTGACCCCAACTGGCTTCTCATCCCCTTTACAAAGTGGGGGGTCACAGTTGGGCAGAGAGGAAATCAGTCATGGGAATGTCTGTAGAGTCCAGTGGAGCCAGGTGAATGTCCTAACTGTACCAACTTGCTGTGTGGCTTGGGGGGCAAGTGTCTCACCCTCACTGAGCTTCAGATGCCCTGTCTGAAATAGGGCACAGTCAGGGCTTGCAATAATAATGGCTTACTGAGCACTAATTACACACTAAACGCTTAGCTTGTTCATTTCATTTTTAGTTTAATCAGATGGGTCGTATCCCTGGATTCGTCTTACATCTAGTTCATTGATCATTAAAAGAAACCAGGAAACTGGGCCCTGCCCCAGGTCCTCCCTTAGCTGGGCGTGGTTTAGAAGCTCCACAAGGTCTGTGGTTTGCACAAAGTGACCTGTTTATGTCCCTTTCCTTCACCTTGTTCAGGCTCCTCAAGCGGGAGCTCGGGAGAAGGTTGCTCGATCCTGGTACAGTAACCATGGCCTTGTCTCCCTCTCGGCCAAGATCGACCGCAAGGGGTACACACCAGGTAGCAGTCGGGAGTGGCTGGATTGGGAGGCGGGCCAGTGTCAGGGCTGCAGGTGGGGAAACTGAGGCCCTGCCACTCCTCATTACAGGTGAAGTAATCCCCGTTTTCGCTGAGATCGACAACGGCTCCACTCGTTCGGTGCTGCCACGGGCAGTCGTGGTCCAGACACAGACCTTCATGGCACGAGGTGCCCGCAAGCAGAAGCGCACAGTGGTGGCCAGTCTCTCGGGCGAGCCTGTAGGCCCTGGGCGGCGGGCGCTATGGCAGGGCCGGGCACTTCGGATCCCTCCTGTGGGCCCTTCCATTCTGCACTGCCGCGTGCTGCATGTGGACTACGCTCTCAAGGTGGAGTATCATAGGAGGCAGGGGGTGCTAGCTACATCTGCTCTGTTCCCAGACAGGGTGCCCCTGAGGCTGGATCTGAGGCCTCCCAGCACAGGAAGGGCCTCCTTCTGTAGAAGGCAGTGTGGTGAGGCTGCTTGGGCGCCCTCCATTGTGGCTCCTTCTTCCAGGTCTGCGTGGACATCCCAGGCACATCCAAGCTGCTCCTGGAGCTGCCGCTGGTCATTGGCACTGTCCCCCTTCACCCTTTCGGCAGCCGCTCATCCAGCGTGGGCAGCCACACCAGCTTCCTATTGGACTGGGGTCTGGGGACCCTGCCAGAGCGGCCTGAGGGTGAGCGCCTCCTCCTCCTGCTGTCCCCTGGGTGGTAGGTGGGGAGAGAGGCAAATGCCAGGCCAACTCACCCTCCCCAGCCTTGATGCCCCCATCTGTAATAGTGCACAATAGCAATCACCTTGGCTGCTACAGGTCCCCCCAGAATCCCAGGTTGAGAGCACACAACCCATAAGCCCAGAACTGACACAAACAGGCTCCCGGCTGTTGTCCCCAATTTCCGAGCTCCCCGCCTCACCAGCCTTATCCCCTTCCTTGGCTTTCACTTCCAGCCCCTCCTGAGTACTCTGAGGTAGTGGACAATGTGGCAGCTACAGGGCAGAGTCCCTTCCCACTGCTTCGGGACTCCAACATGAGCCTTGAAAGCCCCTTCTTCGCCTATATCCAGGAGTTCCGCTACCGCCCGCCACCCCTGTACTCTGAGGTGAGCTTGGGGATACAAGAAGCCCCCATGCCTCTCCAGGCCCTGGGAGCCAAGATGGGGGTGGGAGACACAGGAGTTTTAAATGTTGATGAAACTCCTATGTATATGTTCAGGGCTCAAACCAGCCTTGAGTCCCCATCTCCTCTAGGGGGTTGCCCCCTGGCTGAGTGTGGGAGTTGGAGACTAGCAGGTTGGAGGGGTTTTTCTGAGCCTCTGGTGGCCCCTGAGGTTTGATGGGTTCATTTCCCTCAGGAGGATCCAAACCCACCCTCCGAGGCCATGAGGCCACGCTGCATGACCTGCTGAGTGGACGTGGATACCTAGAGGGACAAAGTTGCACATGTGCTTCCAGCCACCATGGACCTGGGAAGTGGCTGGGTCAAGAGCAGACCAGCCTGGCTGTGCTGAAGTTGGGGAAACCAAGTCTCAGAACAGGGCAGGGCTGTTCTGACATCGCACAGGACAAAGGAAGAGCCAGTCTGGGACCTGACTTATCTGGACTGGGCCTTGTAAGGCATCAAATGCCTGGTGTAGGACCTGAGAGACTGCTCAAGCTGTCTATGTTGACCTGTGGACAGGGCTAGGGTTCCCCAGGAGCCTCCAGTCTGAGAGAGACAGCCAGACATAAATAATTCCAGTCCTGTGGCTCCAGAGGAAGCAGAGGAGGCTTCCTAGAGGAAAGGGCATTTTAGCTGAGGCTTTGGCATATGAATAGGAGCTCAGCAGGCAGGTAAGGAAGGAGAAGTCAGAGAAGGTTCAGAGCTGAGTGATGTTTGGAGACTGCCCCCTTCATCTTAGAACTGGGGCTCAGAGGGCAAGTGCCTCAGTTGAGGTCACACTGGTCCAGCAGGTGAGAGGGCCCAGGAACAAGGCATTCAGGGAAACAAGTCGTGGGAGCTTTGCGAGGCCTGTGGGCTGCAGGGGCAGCAGATCCAGCCTTTGAAGCCTCTGAAAGCTGGAGATTCTTGCCCTAGACTGGGACTATCTGGGGCCTCCTTCAGGTACTGCAGACACAGAGCTGCCTGGGTGCTATATGGCCTGGAAAGCCAGATTCAGTGGGGGCCCTACAAGACCAGCTACATAACTTGCAAAAGAAAATGTGGGGCCCTTGTTCAAGGGTTATCAAAAATTTCAAGATAGTAACAGCAGAACATTTAACCAGGCCCTGGGGACAGAGGTCAGCCTGTGGTGACACAGCAGGGCCAGTGTGTTTCTGGAGAACCCTGTGTTTGGAAGGATAAAGTGGGAGGGGGCAGCTGGGCAAGCCCCCAACTGCAGAGTCCCAGCCCTGACTAGGGCAGAACTTCTGCCTGGGACTCAGCATTTCTGATAAGCCTTAAATAGTTCTCTTTTGTACAATTATTTTTCAAAAATAAAAGTGTGGAAGACGAGACTGGGCTTATTGGTTTATCTTCTCCA